CAGGACCAATGTATCCTCCATCTTTCTAACCAGAGGATTTTCCACTATCTGAGTAGGATTCTGGCCATTAATTTGATATTTCACTGCTTGCTTCAACCTCATTGTATGCAAATCACAGGACAAATGTTAATAAAAGAAAGAAATGTAAGGGGGAAGGGGTATCAGCTCACCTGACCCACCATACCTTAGGTCTTCAGTGGAAAAATCCCCTTCCTTTCCTATTGGGTTTTCCCTCCATGTCCACTACCTAGTGTGAACTGAAACTCTAGAATAACCAAGCTATGCAGACCCTTTGTGGAGGTTTTCTTGTGGCTGCAGGGTAACTGCAGCAGACTCTCCTAGCATCCACCCCTTCCATTTAGCGACTAGTGAAGCAAAGGTATCCCAGTTAGTCTAGGAGACCCCACTTCTAGGATATACGGGTTTCCCAGCTCCCGGAGAAAGAAGCAAAGCTGTTTTCTATTTTACCATACTACTACTATGGAGGATTTTAGAAATTCTGATACAGGAGACCTAGAAAGGAAAATGTTGGCTATTACAGTGCAAACATCTCTGTCCTGAAAGAAAATGTTAATTTCACCTCAAATCTAATGTTGACACACAGCTGCTAAGGAAGGTGTGTCATATGGAAAAGCAGAGATCTCAAGCTCAAAAGAAGGGACGTTGGACTGTGTCCTCTCAGTTCGAATGCTGGCTAGTTCAGAAACTGAACTGCTCTCACTTGAGTTTTTTTTTTCTTCTAAATTTACAGTTTATGAATTGGCATATTATTCTTTTTAAAGGCAAACCTAGCAGTTTTAATCTCTCTGTGTCACCTTGCCCGGCAGGGGAACAAGTTACTTTGTGGTACATGGTGTCTGCTGGCAGCAGCAGGGTCCCCACATTGTCCAAGTTGGCAGGAATTCAGATGCCTCCAACATCTGCCAGGGGATGTGGGATTCGGTTTGGAGAAGTAGGAGAGGGGAACCAGTCCAGGATATGGACTGGGAGAAGGTGAGGTACCCAAATGGAAGGAGATTTGCAGCTGTAACTATTTCCCTCCCTTCCCTACCCCCACCTCCCACAAACACTCAGTCTGTAAATTCTCCTTAATGTGCTCAGCACCCACATTTTAAAATTTGGAATTAAGGTCCCCACCTTCCCCCACCTACGTACATACACACACTTTAACTTGTTAAGTTTGAAAGATGATATATACACACAGTTTGCCTTGCCAGTCAGCACGGTTAAGGCCAAGATTAATGTGGAAGGTTGGTGCAAGGATGCCGCAGAGAAGCGTGATCAGAATACGAGATGGAATGTAGGGGGAAAAGGCCAAGAAATATGTCTGTGCTTGGAGTTTACACAAGTCTCCTTAGCAACTTGTCTCTTTTTTCTTTTAACATTGTGTGTATATATGTATGTATGTGTGTATGTATGTATGTATGTATGTATGTGTGCCTGTGTGTATTCCAAACCCTGAATGAGTAAAATAGGATTTGAGTTTATAAGAGCCTCTTCTTTCTCCTTTGCTTGGGAGAAATTTGTAGTTTCAATTAGTTAACTCGATTTTCTACACTCCCCCCTCACCCTTTTCACCAACACAGCCTCCTGCAAACACCCCCGCCCCCTTTTAGGACTCCATCGTTTGCATTGTGACTATGGACAGTTAGTAGCTTTCCAGAAACTCACATCTCACCATGGGGAATGATAGTGCCTGCTTCTGACGGCCACAGCTGTGCAGTTCTTTGGCACTGCCTAACTCCTTGTAGCACATGTGTGTGTGTGTGTGTGTGTGTGTGTGTGTGTGTGTGTGTGTGCACATACATACACGTGCATGCTTGTGCATTATAAAATGAGGCTGGGGAGTTGCAAAGCCCCCTTTTCCTCCTCTTTCTCCTCCCCCCCCTCAAAAAAATACACATGCTCTGTAATTGTGATTGGAATATGATTCTAAAACCCTTAGGAGAAACTGGCTTTTAGTGATCAGGTATGTTGGATTTTGTGTGTTACTGGGTTGGCTCCATAGGAGCAAGGAATAGACACTCCAGTGGGTTTACCTCCAAATGCTATACCTTGAAATAACTCCAGGGAACATAGTTGCTGCCTCGCTTAAGCTCTTTTGAAATCTTGCTCTGCATGCTCAGTCTCCTCTCTCTCTCTCTCTCTCTCTCTCTCTCTCTCTCTCTCTCTCTCTCTCTCTCTCTCTCTCTCTCTCTCTCTCTCTCTCTCGTTCTCTCTCAGCTTTCCATAGAGAAAAAAAGAAACCAAGCCAAAAAAAAAAAGTGAAGGCTTGATCTTGGCTTTTTTACAAACAGATGTTGCTTGTCATTCTGTTGTTAAGCAGGCATCAGATTGGAGCAAGCAGAAGCTTAGGGGGAACAACAGTAGAGTTTGAAAAAAGTGTTGGGGAGGGTCAAAAAATGGGGGTTACTGAATAGGATGGTTGTTTTTTTCTTTCTTGCTGGAATTCAGTTTAATGGTGACAGTCATTTTCTTTTTTCTTTTCTTTAAATGTTTTTTTTTTTAAAGAGGGGATAGAAACTGGAAGTTACTAGCTACTGAGGGCCCCAGCTTAGAAAAGCTGATTCTCATATGGGTGAAATGCAGATAGAGAGTTCTGTTGGAAATTTTAAGGCATTTTCGGTAAGTGAATGTTTTCCCTGGAATAAGGCAGGGATCCTTCTGCTCTGCTGTAACCTAGTTCTGGTGGTGGATTTGTCAGTAGATTCTCTCTGTAAGTATCATTGTGGAGGTTACAGGCCCTTTGTTGTCTCTCCAAGAACAAGAATCACATTGTTATACAGTAAATCTTTTAATGAAACACTGATTCTTTCCATATTGTTGATCTTTTGTTTTGCTGCATGCAAGCTGATTCAATCCCTGATTTTCCCCCCTTCTTCCCTTGCTTTCTAAATTTAATTGCGGCATGCTCGGGAGCAAACATGACTTTGAACTGAAAGAGTTAAAGTGAGTTGGCAACCAAGCAGCATTTTAGCAGCCTTTCGGTTCATTTAAATGTAAGAAATCACAGCCGTCTGAATTTTGAAATTTTGCATCTCGTGCTTCCATTTTAAGATCAAGAGTTCATTTTTCATTTTTCATTTTTATGTGTATGTTTTAAAAGAAACTCTTCTTTCGTTAACACTGTTATCACTAGAAAGGGTCTCCTGTGAATGGTATCATTATCTATGTTTTAAAAGAGAAGAAAAATGTCCATTTTGTACAAATCTGCTCCTCTTAATACTGAAAGTAGATTCCCTTAACCAGCTACACACAAAACAACTTGTTACTGGCAAAGTCATTTTCTCCTTTGTTTCATCATTGGTGCCTGAAATAAATTTGCCTCTAATTTCTCGCTCTTCAATTGTTGATGTGAGTGCTAGCTTCAGATCTGTGTACATATATGCATAAAGAACCACAGCAATAGCTTTTAAAAAAAAACCAGAGGGGGAAAAAACGCCCAAATAATCTAGGGACATTGCTTTCTGTTTTCTTGTGTTTTATTCTGACCATCCCTTATCCTGTTTTGCTGTTTTTCATGTTATGATTGTCCAAAAGCCCTGCAAACACACATTTTTCATTTCATGTGAAAATATTTGTTTGGAGGGGAGGGAAAGAAAAGGCAGCAGGGAGAGGTCATAAATACCAATTTCTAATTTTCTTCTTGCCTGAAAGGAACATGAATGACATGGTATTGCTTCTCTCCCCACCCCACCCCTCCACTGCCACCCCTTCTCTTTTCTGGTCAGTCTTCTCTTCGTAAAGGAGAATTAATTCCTGATAAGTTAGCTGACTCCAGCGTCTGCAACCCCTGCGTTGCATGTTTGATAGACGCTTCCACACTGTGGTCTGGTCTCCTTGCGGCAATATTGCGTCAAAATAGGCTCGGTGTGATACATGGCACAGACGAATTGCTCTTGGGGAACGGCAATGCTTAGATGTACCTCTTTTGTTTAGGTGACTGGATCTTTCGGCAAAAAATGAGGGTGGTGAAGGCAAGAGAATAGCCATCAGGAAAACTGGAAAGCCATAGAGAGACTATAAACAGTAATAGTTCCCTCTACTTGGTAATGCTAGGGTAGGTGCCAAGTGGAGATTTGAGTTATTCTGTTCCTTTTTCTCAAAAAAAAAAAAGAGTCCAGTTTAATTGTCCCCTTCCCCTTATTATAAAAGAAATATGCCAAGATTCGGCACCTTAAAAAAGGGGAAAATGGAAATCTTTCTGTTGGTATCTCATTCTGCTGACATCACAACGTATTTGGCGTTCAAGTCCACGGCCAGGCAAAACTCAAATAATTTTTTTTTTCCTTGCTAGCAGCTGCACAGTTAGTTTGCCTTTACATTACTAAAGGAACAATAAAGTGAAAGGCAAAACCGGCGTCTAAAACATGGCCAATGAAAGGAAGTTGGAATGGGAGCCAAGAATCCTGCTGTGGTGGAAGGAGGATAGACTCCATGAATCCACCACAATCCGGGATTTCGCTTCTTTTTAACAATCCCATCTGCAGAGAGAAATAATGACTCCTGAATCATTTCAGAGTCAAAAAGTTAAAGCGGGGGCTGGATGGTGCTACGCGGGTCCAGGTAATGACTCCCCGATTTAATTATGCCTTAGCCAATCTTGCTTATGTAACTATCGATATCGTGACTTGGTCCAAAACACTGAGATTTGGGAGTAGTCTAGGGTCTTCACAATTCTTATTTGATCATTTCTTTGGCAAGATGGCTTACAAGGTCCATCGGTAGCCAGAGAAATTCCAGGAAAAAAAAAAGGGAAAGTCGTTTATTTTCAGAGAGTCTATTATTTTTCTGTCATGCGGATAAATATAATGATGTTCCACAATTATTTTTTCTTTTAGTAAATAAAATTCCATTTTCCCTTTGGCATTCTTTCTTCCTCCTTACCACTAAGTTTTGGCTTTGCTTCTATTTGAGTCTTATAAAAATTAAGGTCTCCAAAAGAAATAAAAAGACTCTTGATTCATTTAAAAAGTTTTAAAAAATGTTTTGTCTTCCAGCTATGGGTGATTTTGAAGATCTTGGCCTAGCAAGATGGCAGCGGGTTTTAAAATGGGATTCCCACGAAGTTAACACTTTTTCAGGTAATGGCATTTTCTTGTGATACCCCAGACCTTTCATTTCTGCAGGGATTATAATGTTTTGGGAGGAAGTTTGACTTATTTTTTTTTCTAAATAATGATGGGATTTGAAAATAAAAATATGCGTTTGTAGCAGTGATCGGTTTTAAGAAATTTGGAATCAATGTTAATTTCCCCCCCTGATATATGTGAATAAAATAAAGAGAGATCAGGGGAGTGTGGCCATATTGTTAGGTTCTTAGAGCTTGAATTTCTGTTTCAAAACTTTTATTTTTTCAACGTAATGATGCTCTTGGCCTCTATTCTTCTATATCAGGTGAGCTGAAACAGTAGGTATATGACACACCAAATCTCCACTGTGGGGGTACCTTTGATTATCTATGAAAGTGTCTGATTTCTAAAATATTAGTATCAGAGATTGCTTTTCACCATTACCTTGAATGTTTTCCATGTACTTGGAACTCCTGAGGAATAGGCCTCATGTAAATAACAATAAGATATTATTAGTAAATATTAATTTTTTTTATTTCAGTCCAGATCATTTGTCTAAAAGCATAAATCCCTTTTGCAGAAGCCTTATCCCTCAGCTCTAGTGGTCAGCATTAGAGCTCGGTTCTTATAATGTAGGTACTTTCTTTTTTGGTGATATTAGAAGATTTTGAACCACCTACACATTTTTATGATCTAAAAATATTTGTTTGGTAAATTTTTCTCCATACTTGTCTGCCTTTCTTACCTTTTTTTCCCCCCTACCACTGTTAAGGACCATTGGCTCAAGTTTTTCAAAAGCAATCTGGTATTTCAATCTTAGAGTAAAATCACGGGTGCTTTTAAGAATTGAAGGGGAAAAAAACCTGCTCCTTTGAACAGGACCTTTATTTTCTTGTTAACTTCAAAGAAGGCTCTTGATACAAATATAGAATCAGAATTTTAAAAAAATACCCAACCCCTCATCCCTCTGATTGGTGGTCTGTTTGTATATTTGATTCTTCTTCCTCAGCTATCTGTATTTGTTTTCATGTAACTTTTCTTTTTGGAAATTAAAAATTGTCCGCTTTGGTAATCTAGTGCCGTAAATGTTGGGAATTAGTAGTGTTCTTCAGTCTCAGCCAATTTTCTTAGAAAGGCGGAGAGTTGCCCCCAAATAAAATGTACCCACTGAACTCCTTTTGGTGGCCTCAGAGGAGAACACAGCTGCCTGTGCAGATTTGTGGAGGTGTGCCTGTTGGAATGACTGACTGCTTCTTTGACACATCCCATCTCATCTCCAGGGAGCTCCATTATAACTTTTTAACAAATATAATAATAAAAAGGAGTTCTTACCTTTCTCCCCATGGGAGTATGTGAACATCATGTTAATTTTTCCTAAGAGTTAATATCTTATGGGTCACCTAATTACTCTCTAAGATACCCATGGCTGCATGTTTGAAAATACCTTATTCCCCCTTTCTCTGTTATAAAGATAAGAATAGAGGCTTCTAGTATCAGGGAAAGTGACATGGTAAGGGCTAAAATACTAGTGAGTAAAGGGATTTTTTTTTAAAAGAAAGATTAAGAAAAATTCATCCTGAGAAGAAAAGGATAGGTCCCAAAAGACAGAGTACAATGTTTGATGCTAAAATGCCATACCATTGTTTATTAAGAAATGAAAATCAGGTTAAAAAGCCAAATCCAACTTCTTATTTATGGCTGCATCATCTCTCTTAATAGGCTAGAGGCCTTGATGTTTGCTGCTTTTGGTTGGTGAAACAGGCAGAAAACGTGAAATTTAAGAATGGTAGCACCTGAATTCCCAATCATTCCTGTTTCTGTTCCCTACCTCATTGTTCTCAGCTTTAAGGTTAGTTCTATCATGGCCTGCCCTGTTCTAGGAATGATTCCCTAGGGAGGACATATTCTCTTTTCCCTGGTATCAGTAGGTCTTAATTTTATCTCTCAGATTTTTGGATAAAGATCCCCCTGTTTCTGTCTGGGAAAACAAAACAAAACAAACAAACAAATCCAGATCATCTTCTTGGAGCTAGCGTCCACTGTCCTGGTTAGTACGGAATAGAGGGATATATACTTTTCTATGCTCCTTTGAGAACGGTTACTCTGTTCTCACCCATGTGACACAGAGAAACTATTGACTTCTCTTTGGATGAGTATGAGAGAGGTTACATGGTTATTTATTATTGGCATTAACATTATCTTTTCATCTATTGAATGGAGTTGAGATAGAAATATTATTACTATTATTAGTAACTCATATTTTTAGAGCACTTTATCATTTACATGGCAGTTTGTTATAGATAATCAAATAACTAGCACAGTACAAGTATTTTTGTTCCCATTTCACAAATGGGTACTCTGAGGTTTAGAGAGCTTAAAGGGCTTACCTATGGTCAGATGGCTATGATGTGATGGGTTTAAGCCAAGAAGGAGCTGGATGATCCCAGGCTTTCTTGGCTCTAAATCCTACATTCTGCTGCCCTATGGTGCTCCCTACATAAGAAGTACAAATCACGGTTGCCCTAATAAGAACCTTTTTTTTTTTAACAAGGGCCTTGAGAATCAAACATCTCACTACTTGGAGATTTCTAGAGCAATAATATAGACTTTGTCTTGGATGGAATTATAGAAAACTTGTCCCCTTGCTTCAAATGAGAGCTAATTTTCTGATCTGATTTATAAACATTCCCCTCTAGAATGATGATTTTTTTTCGAAAAAAACACAACCAAACAATTTATCATATTCGTGATGTTTGTATTTTATTCCAGCTCTTTACTGAGCCTATCAGAATGCAAAGAAGAGAGAAAATTCACCATTTTTTTCTTGTAATTAGCTATAACTTTAAAAAAGTGAAAAATCTCTCTCTTCTTCTCTCTCTCCTTCCCTCCCTCCTTCTTTCTCCTCTCTCTCTCTCTCTCTCTCTCTCTCTCTCTCTCTCACACACACACACACACACACACACACACACACACACACACACACACACACACACACCCTCCTCCTACAAGCCAAAGAATTTTCTTGACTCTGCTGATTTGCCCCATTAATATTGCTGTGCGCGCAGTATAGGTTATGGACTGGTCGACTGGTTCTGCCGCTTATATTAACAAGAAAATAATGTGGTTTACACTCAGGACACATTTAGTTTTGTATTTTTTTAGACTTGGGGCTGACTGAAGGAGGGAGAAGCCTTAGGGGGAGGCTGGGGGAACCTAGAGAGAATAAGCTGCTTTATCTCTAGCCCACTCTGAGCAGGGCTGAAGCTGTCCCTTTCTGGCTGGGGATAGAATGGCGAAATCTGCTGCTGGACTAACGGCTTTGATATTTCATTTGCAGACGTGTCAGACCCCCAAACAAGAGAAGATTTTTGGGCCTGTTGCCACAAACCCGTAGATCCGAACTTGTGGTGATATTCCACACAAGCTTGTGTCTATAGGTATGTGTCTGTCAGGCAATCTCACAAACCAGGGGCCTGTTCTATATATGGCGCTTCATCGCCATTGATATGTTTCTGTATATCTCTGCCCACCCACCCCCAAATCTAGACAAAAGGTGGCTATTTTGTTCTGAGATGGTCATTATTCCTTTGTGGTTAATATTGTCATTTTCCTGCTACGCAGGCCTCTGGGGTGAGGCTGTGGGCATTTGAGTTTGCAGGTAACCCCAAATTTGGTGGGGTTTGGACCTGGTTTCGTTTTGCTTTCCTAAAGACTGATTAATTGCCGTGAGCAAAGTTGTGGTTTTCTCTGGAAAGTGACAGAGACTTGTTTATGAGAACAGTATTCTAGTAGTTTTGGCGGCACTGTCTGGCAACTCTTGCTTTGCCCTATTGTTTCCCAAGTGCAGTTGGAGGGCAGCAGGGAAAGGCAAATACGCTGAGCTCTGGGAATATTTAGGAAAATCTTCATAAGTAGAATTATTGGGGGAGAGAGTCTACCTTTTGCTTTCACCACTTTAGCAAATCACTGGTTTATGAGAAAAGAAGTATTTATATAAAAGGAAGAAAAAAAGTAGGGTGGAGGTATGTGTGTGTAGGGGGGGGGGTGGCGGACAGCAAAAACTACCTGCTTAGATCTAATTTTTGTATCTGGCTAGACCAATTTTATTTGTCCTCTTTATGTATTTAAAAAAAAAAAAGAATGAGTGTGATTCTCTCCCACCCCCACCTCCCATCTCCCCATCCCAATCACTGCTCCTTGCCTCTTAAATGTCACCATTGTGCCAGGACTGGAAAGAGCAAATGATTATAGATCAAAGCAAACATGGCTAAACAAGGGTACTTCCAACTTCAAGGGCTGAGCCGTCCGTAAATAGCACCCAGGGTGAAAAGTGGATCAGATTGGGTGTCTTAAACCCTTACCACTCAAGGCTCAGGAATTCCTATAATATTTTCAAAAATCTTACCGCCTCCTCCAACTAAACAATTCCAGATAAAATCAGCTGCTCTGTTGAAAGAAAGAAAGAAAGTTTGAAATTCAGATGGGTGTATTTTCTTTGGTCTTTGTAGCCTCCTCTCAGTCACTGCACAACCCAGGGTTGGCTCTCTCTAAGTGTTGAGGAATATGAAAATGAAACGCCCTGCTTGTTGAGCTAGGGATGGCTCTATCTGAGGTACAGACACTGAATATAAGATGGCAGGTAGGGATCTGCAAAGGGTAGGCCCAGGGGACATTCTTGTTATATATGCATTTCCTTGGAGCTCATTCCACATAGCTTCAAGAAGTCTTGGCTTACATATCTGAAGTATCTCTACGCTTGCCAAGACATTGTTGCTGGATTCAGGATATACGTAACACTACATCTAGGAAAGGAAGATTTCTTTCCTTCGGGTGTGTCAAGAATATTGTTTGGCCTCCGGCGTGCATCTGCCAAGCAAGCAAACAATCTACCAGGTTGATCTCACAAGCAGTTTTGAAGGGGTCGCCTTTGGATAGCTGAACAACCAAGAACTTAAACACCTCCCCTGCCCTGCAAAACACTTAATCTTCATAAGAGATGCTCTGGTCCTCAC